CAGGAATGATTGCCTGGCACAACGTGCAAGGGGTGTGTGGCTGAATTAAGAGGTTCTTTATCTGAGGGCCAGGTTAAATACTTGCTTCTAACCTTGTTTTTTTCTGTTTCCAGTGCATCCACCGAGATGTAAAACCAGAAAACATCCTGATAACAAAGCACTCGGTCATCAAACTTTGTGACTTTGGATTTGCTCGCATACTGAGTGAGTGCCGACTTGCTACTTAGACGGATTGTTAACACGTGAAAGCTCAGATGAAGTGTAGGATCAGGCTTTCAAACACCAGTGAAGACTCACTTGTCTTTGTCTGATGCACGTGTAAAACATCCTATATAAAGGCTGTGTTTTCACAGAGAAGCTCTGCTAAAGGCTGGGTAGAGATCCCCAAACCAGCTTCAAGGGAGCTAGCCCATGCCAAGTGCCTCTGTCAACAAACTCCGTCTGAGCTCCCTGCTGGTGCGGCTGAGCTGCTGGTGGTGCTGGCGCTGGTAGATGGAAGTCAGCCTTGGGCATCTTGGAGCTGCCCAGCCGTGGCTTAAGCAATGCTGGAGACACAGCTGGAGTTCCCTGGCAGGAGGAGCCCCTCTGGCAGAAGGCGCTGTCTCTGCAAACAATGGCTTCAAATTTTCCGTTGTAAATAAACCCCCTAATCTGGGGGTTTTTTTAGCTCTTGTTCAGACAAATCACGTGGGCTTTGAGAACTGACCACTAGCTGGTGCAGGGCCCTGCTGTGGAGCTCTGCATATTTTCATATGAAGAAAAATATGGTCTTGATTTTTGCCAAATCTTGTTTCCAAAGTTGGGTTCTGCTAGTGGCCAGTGACTCACCCTGTTCCTGTAGCTATCGCCTGCCCGGGAGGTGCCCCAACATGCATAACAACTGATGGTGGCTCATCTGCATCGTTCTGATCCCACATTCCTGTTTGTTTCTCTCCTTCCTGACCCCAACCTAGCTGGGCCGAGTGATTATTACACAGACTACGTGGCTACCAGGTGGTACCGCTCTCCGGAGTTACTCGTGGGAGACACCCAGTACGGCCCTCCCGTGGACGTGTGGGCGATAGGCTGCGTCTTTGCAGAGCTGCTGTCCGGGGTCCCCCTGTGGCCTGGCAAGTCGGACGTCGACCAGCTGTACCTCATCCGGAGAACCCTGGGTAAGTGTCCCCTCTGCTCCAGTCAGAGCCTCGGTCTTCCTGATGCTTTTGGCAGGACTAGAGCTTGCCAAGGAGGAGTTTCCTCTGTGGTGGGAATCGGGATTAGCCAGGAGGTGAATCTACCCAGGGGATCTCTCCCTTTAGTAGGTGCTGGCTTTATGTGAGGTGTTACTGTCCTTGAAAGGGAGCCGGGTTTCCCTGGCATGACTTACACATGCACATCTTGTTAGGAGATTGTGTAGTTGGAGTAACAGGTGCTGCTTCAGGTCCTGGCGGGATTTGGGGAAATGAAGTTGGCATCCACGTGGGTGGTGCCTGTTCTTCAGAAGAGGATCTGTGGGGTAGAAATTGGTTTCAGCTTGTACGTGCCAGCAGTGCCAGGCTGTGGTGAAAAGGCTCACAACGGACAGGGCTGGGTAAGCAGGATCCTTGCCTGCAAACTGCCTGAAACCGTTCTTCCACTCTCCTGAGCAGTAGTGGCCTCTGGGAAGCTGGGTCTGCTGCTGGGCAGTTTAAGAAAGATGTGGGGTGTGTGAGGTGACACCGGCTGCCCCTCCTGGTCCTTTGGGGTGGCTCGGTGACCACCGGCGTGCGGGGAGCACAGGGCCAGCCCCTCAGGAGGCACAGAAACGCCTGCCTCTGCTCCTGGCCTTCCCACATCTTCAGCTGTCACCTCACAGAGAGAAAAATGGGATGCCTGTATCAGAAAGGACCAGGAACGTTTTGCATAAAGGTTTGAAAGATCCGGGTATTTTTCAGGGTTTGGTACCAGCTATTGGTCCTTGCTTCCAGATGACAAATAGTTGGATTTAGTTCATCGCAGCTTTGGAGGTCTCGTAAACATTGTGGGTGCCTGTTGATAGCTGTGTCCTTGGGAAAGAGAGTGTGAACACCGAAGTTCGACTGTTCTACCTGTTCGCCTTTATTCACCAAGGAATTTTAGGAGCCACTCCGGGTTTGGAACAGAGGTTAAATAAAAGAGCCATTGTCTGTGGGATATTTAAATTAATCCAGTCTCATCGATTCTATTTGATGTTGGTGTGTAACATCTGATTTCTTGAGTAGAAAGGAACAAACTCCCACTTGTAATTAAAATTTGTTGGAATGAACTGAGAATTGTAATTTTTACTGAGCAGTTTATAAAACTATGAAGGTGACTAATGGCTTTAAACAGATAAGCTGCCTAGCTAGAAAAATAGTTCAACGTCGATTGCTTCATCCTCCAGAATACATATATGCCAGTGTTAGGTAAGTTATAATTTATTTTTAATGATAGGGTTTCAGCCAGAAGAAATTCCCTTTTGATCCATGTGATGGACTGAGGCAGCGTTTACAGAGAAAAGCTCCTTGGTCAAAGCTGTGTAATTACGGTGGTTTGGCCGGTGTACTGGCTCTTGTGTTACGGATTTGATTTTAACATTTTGCTTCCTCTGAGCTGCTCTAAGCTTTAAAAAAGGGCCATGAAGCTGCAATGGGGAAAAGCTACAGCGTGTTCCTGTTGGTGCTGCATTTCGGCTCTTTTCTATACAACATCCTCAGGAGCGTACAAAAAGAATTTCACCCAATATGAGTTAAATATTAATGAAGCTGGAACACTTGTGGTTAGCCTCTCCCCTACCAGCAGTCAGAGAAGACACGACTGTTTATGCAGACAGGCTGCCTCTTGGGATCCCTTTTCCTTTGAAAATGCCGAAAACACAGCATTAGCGCGGAGAGCAGGCCGGCGAGCCCTCCCTCCAACAGAGCGCACCGACAAAGCGTGCCCACGCTGCCATGCGGCCACCTCCAAAACAAACAGTGGCTCCTGCCAGGTCCTCCTCAGAGCCCTGGGCTGGCCCATCCTGTCTGATGTGAGCAGGGGAGTTAGCTGCCGTCTGATCTTGCTTAACACCTTGGGAAGGATCCCTGGCCGAAGCTCAGTGCTGTGGCATGGCTGGAGTTGCAGCTCCTGGTAGGTGTTTGCACAGCACCCTCTAGCTCCAACGCTGGGACACGGTCCCCACTCACCGCACACACGGATCCGGAGTTGGGCCGGCGCACGGTGGAGGTACAGGTGCCGGCACGGAGCAGGCCCGTTTGTGCCACTTAGTGCCTTGCCCACCTCATTCCCTGGTGTTCTACCCAGGGGTCTTTTCCCTGGTGGAAATCCAAATTTGCAGTTACCCAAATAACATAGTGGTAGGATCTAGGCATTTCATATGGGGAGATATATAGAAATATGTATTTTTCAAGGCCCCAGGCTTGAAAATGTGGCCACGTTTTGAAACTTGCGGCTACAATTCATAAAAGCCGCACTGCTGCATGGCAGAGAAATTCAGCGCCTGGGAGAGGCGCAGCAGCCGAGTACTCCGGCTCCAGAAACTGCTCCCACCAGCTGAATTTCTTTGCGCTATTTACAGCGGGAGGCCCTGGGCAGTTGCGACGGCGGGCAGCGGGAGCTGCGTGGCCCTGCCTTTCATTCGGCACAGTCACACGGCTGTGGGATCGCTGGTGCCCCAGGTGGACGTTAGTTTTCACAGAAGAACATTTCATCGGCTCACTTGATGGTACTCCATCTCTTCAGGTGTTCTCTCGGATGGTGTCAGCCTTGTTAGAGGATAGAAGCGAGTTCAATGCAGGCACTGTAAAAACAGCAAATGAATCTGACTTTGTTTTTTTTTTTATTCTTGGTCAAAGGGGATCTTATTCCCAGGCACCAGCAAGCGTTCAGCACCAACCAGTTCTTCAGTGGGGTACGAATTCCAGACCCAGAGAGCATGGTAAGAGCTCCCTCCAGGCGCACTTCCCCTGAGCCTAGCGCTAACCAGCAATCTATCTGCAGTGCTAAGGAGACGCGGTGTTTGGGCAGAGAAACGTTCCCACTTCTTTTTACCCAGAGTACACGTGCTGTCTGCTTTGGAAGTACAGCTGGAAAAGCCTCGCTTCCTCGCTTGACCAGTCCTTTGCTGCGCAGAATTTTTTCCCTACCCAAAAGCTTCGCCCTCTACTTTGCCGATGTACGCTAGAATATTATTTAGAGGTGGCTGAACCCCTCTCATGAGGTTTTAACCAATACCCTGTGTAAAAGCAATCAAACAAACGCTTACTCTCTGCTCCTTCTCCGCACTTCTGGTGGCACAGCAGCCAGCCAGCCCGTCCTCAGTAATGGCAGGCAGCACACGGAGTGGCAGATGCGTTTTGTGAGGTACAGGTCACGTTGCTATGGAAAGCTGGTTCTCTGTACCCTGATGAATAAAAAACTTGCTAATATGAGTACACTGACTTTTTTTTTTTCCCCTCCAGGAGCCGTTAGAAATGAAGTTCCCTAATATTTCATACTCTGCTTTAGCTCTCATGAAGGTAAGAAAATTACAGCGGAGGAGCTCTGCACTGAGACTTAGCAAATGCAGCCTGTTTTGCTTATCAGCTGGGAAACGGTGTGCGAGTTGGCTACTGAATTATCAGAGATTCGTTGAAAAATAGAGCTGGAGGGGATTTGGAGAGGACTTTTAATTCACTCCTCTCTAATCCACTCATCTTTACCGTGGAGGTGGAAAACATATTATTCCCTTATTAAGATGCAGTGAACGGAAAGTGTGAGGAGGGAGACATTAAAAGGCAGGTGCAGCTGTGGGTAGTAGTTGCCGCGCTAAACACCGGAACAACACAGCTAGTGCCATAGTGGATTCCCCTGTTTAAGAAAGTTGTTCCAGTCCAAATGAAAGCTATGGGCTTAACTGGTTTTTGAGGCTTGAGGGTTTGCTGCACCGTACAATTATAACAGTCCCTCTAGCCGCAGTTTCTACTACTGCCTCGTGGCAATTGTTCAGTATTAGCTGCTTTGCAAGCTTCATGCTAACTCTGAAAAGCCACTCTTAGGATCTGTTAAAACAAAGGATTAACACACGTACTCGTTGGCTGCGGTGAGTAGCTGGAATTGTGCAGACCTGTTATACGAGCGTTCTGTGTCATCCTTTTTACTTCATCTTTTCTAAGGGTTGCCTTCGTATGGACCCTGCAGAGAGGCAGACATGTGAGCAGCTGCTGCAGCATCCCTATTTTGACAGCATTAGGGAGGCAGCGGATCTGGGGAAAGAACATGAAAAAACGGCTCGGAAACCAGCCAGGCTGACTCGGAAGCACGTGCCGGGGGTAACATTTCCATAGCACTATGTCGTGTTCTGTGCCCAAGGAGGGCACTGGGTCTCTTGGTCTGGCTCCCAGGAGGTGGGCTCAGGCTGGCAGTTAACGGTGAGAGAGAGCTCCCGCATCGTAATTTTAGCCCGAGGAGAAAATGCAACCTCCTGGCTAAAGAGTAACTCTGTAGAAACTGAATTCTGCATCGCAGCGCCGTTGAGTCCCTGGGGATAAGCAGCACAGCAATGTGACACATCGGGTTTATCCAGGAATGTGCACTCCTGACAAAGCATAGCAGGAGACTGAACAAACGGGACGGGCTTGCACGGCTGGTTTAATCCGGAGTTCTCTGGGATCCCTTTGGTGCTTTTGAATCCCAAATTACGGAGATGGCAAAAATGCCCAGTTCCATTTGTAACTGCTGACGGGATGTGATCCCGTACTCGGTTCCAGACGTTGCACAACGCACTGGGTGTTTCTGCAACTGGAGTTGCCAGGCAAATGTCTCCCTGCCATTTCAGTCTTTCCAGACTCCAGCCCAACTCTCCAAATCCAGCCTCACGATGCGAGTCATTCAGCAGTTCCTTCTTCCTGTGAGCCACATTCCCCGCGGCAGCTGTAACGCTGAGCTGGTAACACGCAGGGAAGTTGGAGGTGTGGGATGGCGAACTGCTACAGCATATAAATTCCGGGATCAAACTGATTCGCCTTGTCCATTGCTATGTCATGGGGTATAAGTGCGATATTTTTCTTGCCCTGGATGACTGGAAGAAATACCTTTAATGAGCTGTTCTGGTTGCAGTCCAGTTGTAGAACACCAGATCTGTGACTCTTTGAGTTTGAAAAGTACAGGGTTACAGTATGAATAGTTCTATAGCTTATATTCCTTTTTGAAAAATGAAATGCATGCCTTGTTCTCATTTCAAACAAATCCACGCTATTTAACTTTTCCTTTAGTTACAGTACCTGCCTCAGTTAACCCGTAGTAACGTTCTGCCAGCTTTGGACAGCAAGAAGAACTGCTGCAAAACAAGGAAATCAGACTGCCACTTCCCTAACATCTAACCGGATGGCGGATTATTTATTGTTCAAAGTTCCAAGTCGTTCAGAATTTATAAAAGGAGAATACGTGGTGGGAAACAAAATTAATACGTTATGACATACACAAAATTGGTCTGTAAAGTGACTCTGGGTCACTAATGGAAGGAAGGTGAGGCACAGAAAGACTCCAAGCTCACGCTAGTCGGTGGTCTGTGTACAAAGGAAAATACATTTGTTTTGCTTTAATTCATGATTGCATACTGGTTTGGGATTGCATACTGGTTCGGGATTGCATACTGGTTCGGGATTGCATACTGGTTTGGGATTACTGCAACCCAGTGTTTACGGTGTGAATTTAAAAACTCTTGCCTATCGCCTGTACTTCAGACTTGGCAGAAGAACCGCAACCTTGCCAAATAAATCGGAGTCGCAGTGTGTCAGAACAGCAGTGCTGCTGGAGGCCGGGGCCGGGTCACTGATCCCGCAGGGAACAGTAAGCGTGTGGCCGGTGCGAGCAGAAGACGGATGGATGCGTTTGTGGAGCCAAGCCTGAAGAGATGCTGCCTAACTGCTCCAGTCAGTTAGGAACCTGCTGAAACAGCGCTGCTTAAAGATAAGTCTTGTCTTACGTACTGCATTTATACATCACAAAGTATTAAAAGTACCGGTAAGGACTTACACTTCATGGAAGGAGGCTCAACAGGCACCGTTACCAGGAGGGGAATGTAGAAACAATAAAACCTGTTGTTTCTTTAGTCTTTTCCAAGAGTTTCTCCTGCCTGTTTCTTCCTTGCATTACGAGGTTGTTTTTATTTGCTGTTTCTGTCAGTAGTGAAGTCACTTGCCTGTAGCATTACAGAAATTGTTTTGATCAAAAATAATTCCTGAATTATAATTTATAACATTGGCCAGACACAGGCAGGAATTCTACCTAAGCACATGTATTAGAATGATTCGTGGGCTTTGTGTAATCTCAGGATGTAATGTTGTGTTGAGTCTGAATAAAAGAAACGTAGCTTGTTTTTCCAACTTATTGCATGTGTTTTACCCTATGAGGTTTTACTACTGAGCAAGGAACATCCTCTTTCTACTTGAAACCTAGAGCAAAAATGAGTTCTTTTCCCAGTACTGTTCTGTGTTCAACAATAGTAAAAGCAATTTCAATGGGACAGATGCCATATCCTCACCGAGTGTGCCCGTCTACCTTTTATTTCACATTATAAATTAATATATTTTGATCTCATTGTGTACGTTGTGTCCTTAGGTAGTTTTGGTTACACTCAGAAAGCTTTGGTGCTCCGGTATTTTCTGTACGGACATTCGACCCTCTAATCCCGTAGGTGCGCAAGGTACCGCGGCACCCGCGCGCCGTCTGCGAGCAGCCAGCTCCTGGACGCAGCCATGGGCAGTGCAGGCTGGAGGGAGCTTCACTCCTGGACACTGTTCCTGCCCGCTCTGAGCCAGGAGATACCACAAAGAATCCGCCCCACGATGCAGCTAGTGCAAAATGTTATCCTGTCCGCTGACAAGGGGACGGCGAGGGATAAAAAAGATACTCTCAGTTAAGCAGAGGTAGCCACGTCTGAGACGTCACTATGAAGTCTGCTTTATTGGAGTCATTGCCTACCACCTTTCTCTCCACCAAAACTAGGGATTTGATGAAAAATGCTGTATTCTTCCTGAGGATGAATCATTCTCTTATTTAGCAGGAGTGAGATGGACGCGACTGAAGAGGTGCACAGAACAAATTTAGTCCGTGTCAGCATACGGCAAAAATGTGGGCAAGGGCATATCCAAGAGCCCCTGCTTCTCCACAAATACAGCAATGTTCAGCTCCTCAGCTTGGTGTTTCTCAGCAGGTCAGGCTGCCTGTCTGTAGATCCCTCCACTTAAAACAAACACCGGCTACGCAAGTCAAAGCGTGCAGAACAGAAAAAAGGCCCGTAAGCTATTTTATTAAATTGGCACCCGCTGACCGGGCGAGATTCTCAGAGCAAACAGCTCTCATTCCCACGGCATCAGCAACGTGCAATAAAAGCGTACGGCGCTGCTGTTTCACAACACCGGCTTTCTTCCCACTGTCGTTTTGCACAAGAATTTCTGTGCAGTAAAATATCTGAAAACTTCTAATTGATGTATTAACAGCTTCCTACAAAAACAGGAAAAAAATGACTGGGCACAGAAGCTTGCCTTCACTGTTGTCGACTCACCATATAGTTTAAGCTTAATAAAACTGAATTGCCTAACAGATTGCACACAGCTTTTAAGGCTGGATTGGAAGATCTGGGCTTATTTCCATACCTGGAAATACAGTAGCGTCTACAACTTAATTTATGCAACATATGATAAATACTGTGAAATCGAGTACATCTCAGTTCTGGGCAATTGTGTTTATTCTAAATCCAGCTCCAGCTCCAGGTTTGGCAGCGCCTGCTGAAGGACGTGAACAGTAGTTTCTTTCTCTCTTATTCCAGGAAGGTCGCTCAGATACAAATATTCAAGGTTCCTATAAATATTTAAAAAGAAAAGTCAGCAACTGTTATTTAACTGTTGACACAGAAATGCGACAAAGGATTATTCTACCATCATTACTTTGAGTATTTTAAAAGGTAACTGGTTCTAATGGAGCTTTTTTCTGAAGTGAGTGCTTAAAGTTTTTAGCTCACAGTAAGTTCAGTCCTTCTACAGAGCTTAAAAAGAGACCCCAGGCCCCCCACGTCATGAAGCTTCGTTTATGTTAAATAGTATTTGATCATTTCAATAGCGATTTAGTACAAGTTATTTTAATGTAAATAATAGAGTACTGTAGACAGTCCTTAATAATAACCTGCTGTAGGATGAAATCCAAGTCACCACATCACCCACTTGTCGATGCCTATTAATTCCCTGTAACACTAAACAGTCCCGAGCTACTGTAAGG